TCCTCTTTCTCACCTCTCCTCCCCTCTACTTCTCGCCTCTCGTCTTCATCTCCCCTCTCCTCCTCTTCATCTCGCCTCTCCTCCTCTTCATCTCGCCTCTCCTCCTCTTCATCTCGCCTCTCCTCCTCTTCATCTCGCCTCTCCTCCTCTTCATCTCGCCTCTCCTCTCATCTCGCCTCTCCTCCTCTTCATCTCGCCTCTCCTCCTCTTCATCTCGCCTCTCCTCCTCTTCATCTCGCCTCTCCTCCTCTTCATCTCGCCTCTCCTCTCATCGTGCCTCTCCGCTTCTTGCTTCTCACTTACCTAATCACACTACTTCGTCCCTCGTGGCCCTCTTCCCCTCCCTCCCTCCCCCGCTCCACCTGCTTCTCTCCATTCCCAAACACCTCCACCACCCATTTTCAGTCCACTGAAAAAGTCCTTTTCTTTTATTTTCTTTTCTTTTCTTTTCTCTTTTCTTTCTGCCCCCCCGGCATTCCTACAGCCACCACCCCTGCCTGCTCCATCGCCTTTCTGATTCACATCAACTGCCCGCTCGTTTTCCCCCTCTCAGATGACTGATAAGTCGACTCAAAAGTCATCTCACCCACCACCCGCCTGCTCCGTCGCCTTCCTGATTCACATTGACTGCCTGCTCGTTTTCCCCATCTCCCCATCTCCACCCCCCCCCCGTCTTTTCCCCTCCCAACCTTACGTCCCTGCAGCCACCCCCCCCTACACATACACCGTCGTCTTCCCAATAGACATCGACTGTCCGCTCGTCTACCAGCTCTACGGCCTCACAGAGGAGGCGTTTCTCGCTCAGAACCTGCAGCTGGTGAGCTCTTCCCTTCCTCATTCTCCCTCTTTTGTCACTCCTAGACCCGTTCAATGTGCCCCAACCCTTTCATCCACCCTTTGAGCTGCCAGCCTGTTGCTTCACCCCTTCATCCGCTCGACTACCGGCTCTACGGCCTCAGGGAGGAGGCCCTTGTCGCCCATAACCTGAACCTGGCGAGCCGCTCCCTTTGACCACAGGGCATGGCTTTTGAGGCGCCTCAACCCACCGATCTCACACCTCCCACCCACCCACCCACCCACCCACCCACACCCCACCACACCCACCCCGCCCCACTCCACCCCATTCTACCCACAGGGCGTGGATCACTGCGAGACCATCCCGGCCAACACGGCAGTGACTGTGGCGCCGCCCCTCATGGGGGCGGTGCACTGTGTGCTCTACTACTCGTGGACGGCAACTGACACGTGCCAGAGCGTGGCCGACAATTTCTGGCTCACAGTCGACGATCTGGTGACGCTCAACCCGGGGATCAACTGCACTGATTGCACCGCCTGGAACGCTCCGACCGTGAACCAGCAGGTGAGATGCGGTGTAGTACAGTGCAGTGCGGTGCGGTGTGGTGCAGCTCGGTGCAGTGCGGTGCAGCGCGGTGCAGTGCGGTGCGGTGCTCGATGGTATGGCGGGCATGTGTTGGCTCACAGTGGACGACCTGGTGACGCTCAACCCTGATATCAATTGCACAGGTAGCACCGCCTGGAACGCTCCGACTGTGAACTAGCAGATGAGGTGCATTGCAGTTTAGTGCAGTTTGGTGCAGTGCCGGTGCTTAAAAGTGTGGCGACCTGGCTGACGCTGAAGTAGGTGCATGGTGCAGGCAGGGGACACATTCAAAGCATCATGCCGCTCACTCCCGTCATGCCCCTTCTTTCTCCCCTCCCTTCTCCCCCACTTATTGCCTCTGTCCACGCAGCTGTGTGTGGCGAAGGGCAGCGGGGGAGGGGACGTGCCAAAGCTGCCCATGTGCACTAGATGGTACACGGTGCAGTCGGGGGACACATGTCAAAGCATCATGGCGGATTTCTCTCTCAACCAAACCGCCTTCTTCTCCCTCAACCCGGGCGTGGGCTGTGACAGCCTCTTCGCGTCTGTTGGGGGCAGCACCTTCGGCTGGAGTGGGGGTGGTGTGCAGGTGGGTTGCGGGGAGACAGGTGAGGGGATGGCGTGCAGGTGAGGGGTAGGATGCGGTGGCGTGCGGCTGGAGTGGGGGTGGCGTGTAGCCTCTTATTTCAGAACAATACCCTCCACGCCCATCTTTTCCCCATTTTCCACCTGCACTCCGCACACATGAATCTCTGTCTGTCTTGTGTGTGGATGCATGCCTCACGAATGCACTTGTGAGAATTCTCGAATATATACATCCCTCTCTCACTCGTGTATGCATGCATACCTCACAACAACACACCACATCCATTGCCCTCATTCTCACATCGCTCCTAACACACATTCCACCACATCTCGCCCCACGATATAACACACCCCACCCATCCCCATCGCAGGTGTGTGTGGATGCATACCTGGTTGATGCCCGGGGCTCATTCAATCCACTCACCCATCTCACCCATCTCACCCATCCATCCCCATCCCCATCGCAGGTGTGTGTGGATGCATACCTGGTGGATGCCCGGGGCTCATTCACCCCTCGCTCCCTCCAAGAGCACTTCTCCACTTCCCCGCTCCTCCCCTCCACCCCATCTCTCTCCTCCCAGTCCTCCTTTTCCTCCTCTTCCTCCTCTTCCTCCTCTTCCTCTTCCTCATCCTCTCCCTTGTCCTTCTCAACACGAGGAAGACTGCTCGGCCTTAGCACCTCCTCCCACCCATCACCTTCCTCCCTGCCTCGCCTCCCACCCATCATCCCGTCTCACTCCGCCCAACCAATGAGAGGCCGCCAGCTGGCGGTGTCGAAGCGGCGGTGCCTGGCGTTCTACTCGGTGACGAGGGGGGACTTCTGTGCGCGCATCATATCGCTCAAGTTCCAGAACAGTGCGAGGAAGCTGGCAGAGTTGAACAACGGATATGTGTGTACGAATGATAGGCTCTACGTGGGGCTGAGCCTGTGCACGCGGAGGTAGCAGACAGGGTAGTGGTTGTTTTTTGAGAATTCTCAAAAAACACACGCGGAGGTAGCAGGCAGGGTAGTGGCTGGGGACGAAGCGCGAGATGGTGGGGCTGAACAATGGATATGTGTGTAACGACGATAGGCTCTGCGTGGGGCTGAACAATGGATATGTGTGTAGCGACGATAGGCTCTGCGTGGGGCTGAACAATGGATATGTGTGTAGCGACGATAGGCTCTGCGTGGGGCTGAACAATGGATATGTGTGTAGCGACGATAGGCTCTGCGTGGGGCTGAACAATGGATATGTGTGTAGCGACGATAGGCTCTGTGTGGGGCTGAACAATGGATATGTGTGTAGCGACGATAGGCTCTGCGTGGGGCTGAACAATGGATATGTGTGTAGCGATGATAGGCTCTGCGTGGGGCTGAACAATGGATATGTGTGTAGCGACGAGAGGCTCTGCGTGGGGCTGAACAATGGATATGTGTGTAGCGACGATAGGCTCTGCGTGGGGCTGAGCCTCTGCACGCGCCGATAGAAGTGCCTTTCATGTGAAGCTGGCGGAGTTGAACAACGGATACGTGTGCAACATCGATAGGCTGTACGTGGGGTTGTCCCTTTGAACACGGAGGTAGGAGCTAGTGAGTTCTTTCGAGGTGCCTCGAAAGGCTGTGTGCGTGCTGGTTGGTTGAGATCGTGCCAGAATTGGCATGCCCTTCCTTGTGTGAAGCCTGGGGGTTGTGTTGTGTTGGCATGTCTGCTTGGAGTGCAAACAGAAGATGCGTTTTTGCATCTCTCACTGGTTATTCAAAGCGCATTTACGGTAGTGGGGAGGGAATATTTCCACCAAGTTGCTGCAGCGCTGGCTGGCATATTTCTGTACACGCATTAGCTGGCCGCACGCACAGTATTGGAACGCTTCAATTGAGTACGTGTTATACCTTATGTACTCTACATTTGTAATATGCGTATTTTATTGCCTTAACGAGCAGTTCTGCTGTGGCCTATTGTGGCGCTTGCGTTTATGGCCATTTAGAGAGTTTCTGGTTGCCTCAGCGCAGCGGAGTGGATTGGTAGGTCCATGTTGGCTGCACAGGTGTACCTTGGTACTTACCTGTAGTACTTGAGTTGAGGCATGCATGGTATGGTGATGGTTGAAGAAAGCAATCATACTGAAATGCATTGACACCTACAAGAATGACCTCATCTCACCGTAGAAAAAACTGTCATGTCGTGACATGACGTGACGACTCTAAAAAGACATCTCACCTTGCCGTGGCACACCATGTCCAAGCCATGTGTCCTCAGGGGACGCCTCCCATGAAGGAGTTGCAGCCCACAAGTCGCCTGGCTCCAAAAGAAACACACACACACCACACCCATGTCACGCCATGTCCAAGCCATGTGTCCTCAGGGTGCCTCCCATGAAGGAGTTGCAGCCCACAAGTCGCCTGGCTCCAAAAGAAACACACACACACCACACCCATGTCACGCCATGTCCAAGCCATGTGTCCTCAGGGGATGCCTCCCCTGAAGGAGTTGCAGCACACCCACACCCAAACCTGGGTCCAAGAGAAACACCACAGCACACCCATACCCAAACCTGGGTCCAAGAGAAACACCACAGCACACCCATATCCATACCTGGCTCATGAGAAACACCACAGCACACCGATACCCATACCTGGCTCATGAGAAACACCACAGCACACCCACACCCATACCTGGCTCATGAGAAACACCACAGCACACCCATACCCATACCTGATTTATGAGAAACACCACAGCACACCCACACCCATACCTGGCTCATGAGAAACACCACAGCACACCCACACCCATACCTGGTTTATGAGAAACACCACAGCACACCCACACCCATACACAGTACCACATGCTTGTGACAAGTTGCAAGCTCATATCATCTAGAACCAAGTGAAGAGTGTACTTGGGTCATCTCTCATGAAGGAAACTTTTGAGTTGACTCAAGGTGACTTTCAACTTTTGAGTCGACTCAAGGTGACTATTGGCTTTTGTGTCGACTCAAAGGGTCCAAGTGGAGTGTGTACCAGGGTCATCTCTTATGAAGGAGATGAAGGCACAGGTGGCCGGACCGGGCCAAAAGAGAAACACGACCACACCCACCATGCTCATCATGCCCGTGTAGGACCTGCTTTTGAGAAGTCGCATATGCAACATTCTAGAAGCAGGCTCGGTGAGAACGAGGAACATACCAGGAGGAGCTGAAGGCACGGGCGGCCGTTCCAGGTCAGAAAAGCAACACCACCACCACATCACATCCACCATTGGGACCGGCCTTTGAGAACCATAAAAAGGAATGTGTCGAACCGAAGCCAAGTGTGTAAAAAGGGGAGCATAACCCATCAAGAGTTCAAAGCGGGAAAGAGAGCGGAATAACCTCTTGAGTTAACTCAAAGCTGAGAAACTAAAAATACTAAATATGAAATGAATGAATACATAAACAAATTAAGTACGCGAAACTGAAGCCCACACCTGGCCTGGCTCAAGAAGCCTTTCCAGAAATTTAAAAAAATGTGCCACATTAGCATAGTTGCCCATTCTTTAGGCGCCTTAATAACAGGCACTACCACTACCATAACAGATTGCTTGCTGGAACAAAACCAGCTGGTGATAACACAATAAGCCACGATGAAGCTTATGATTACGGATGTGAGTGAGAGCCATGACAACCAGGGTTCACCCAACCCCTCTGCCCTCCACACAGCATCTCCTGACTGCAGTCAAGCACGCCGTGGTCAGCATCGCTGCTGCGGTTCTGTGTAGCAGCCGGCCCAAACACCCCTTCCGGACCATCACTCCCTTGAATGCCAACCACACCGTTCCCAATCCCAGAGTCATCCTGCATTAGAAGAAGGTCGTCCAAGCACGCATCTGGAACCGACACATGCATGCACGAGTCCATGGAGCAGCCGCTCATGCTTCCCATAGACATACCATTACTGTCAGCCCTTGAACGTTGACACGCGTCGGTTCGGATACTGCCATTCTGGAAGCTGGAGAGTGCGCCCATGCTCGTCCCCGCACTTGGGAGTGCATGTGTCGTACAACTGGGAATTATCCTCTGGGGCTCTGAACTTGCATGCGGGCCATGCAGAGTTGTGTGGCCTGTCGGAAGGCCAGCTAGCTTGGGAAGACTGTGTATGGGAGTGCTGCTGCTTTTGTAGGGATTGGCGCTGCCTGCATAACCTGCAGTGTACGCAGCTGGCCGCTGCTGCTGCTGCTGCTGCTGCTGCTGCTGCTGCTGGTGCTGCTGCTGATACGGCTCCAACTTCGGATGATGCTGCTGCTCCAGTTGCTGTTGCTGGTAGAACTGCTGCTGCTGATACGGCTCCAGCTTGGGCTGATGCAGCTTCTCCACTTGTTGTTTCTGGTATGCCTGCTGCTGCTGCTGCTGCTGATGCTCCAGGTGCTGTTGCTGGTAGGACTGCTGCCGCTGCTGCTGCTGTTGTGGCTCCAGCTGATGTTCGTGATAACCCTCCAACTGAAAATGCTGCTGGTGGGAAGAAAGCAGATGGCAGTAACTCTCCCCGTTAGCCACATTCTGCTTGTCGCATGGTGCATTCGATTCCACGGCCCATGCCCTACTCATTGGCCAGGAATCCCTGCCACAAGCAGTCGAGGCATCCAAATCAGGGTTGGTGGTGGTTACAGGGGAAGCAGCTTGTATAGGTGGGGTTGACCAAGCGATGAGTGATGGCGAGCCTCCAGTATTGGGCATGGGTTGACAATCCCAGGTGCTCTCAACCGGCTCACTTTTCCCAGAGAGTTGATGAGAGGTGGGGCATGTGGCGACATAGGCACATGAACTGGTGTCTCCTCTTTGCAACACTCCAGTGTGACAGTCACAAGGCAGCGCCTTGGCAGTAGGCTCTGGAGCATGAGGTTCAACCACGGGTACACCAGCAGTGGTGGTTATCCCATAAGTGGTTCCGCCAGTGGTGGTTATGCCATAAGTGGTTCCGCCAGTGGTGGTTATGCCATAAGTGGTTCCGCCAGTGGTGGTTATGTCATAGGTGTTCACGCCAGTGGCTGTTATGCCAATGGTGGTTGGAATCTCATAGGAAAGCAAATTTTCCATGCAGGAAAAGATTGAGGGCGCTTGAGACATTTGTTGTTGTTGTTGATGCTGATTCTGGCCTTGATGCTGCTGATGCTGATGCTGCTGTTGCTGCTGCTGCTGCTGCTGCTGCTGCTGCTGCTGCTGCTGCTGCTGCTGCTGCTGCTGCTGCTGCTGCTGCTGCTGCTGCTGCTGCTGCTGCTGCTGCTGCTGCTGCTGCTGTGGCAGCGGCGGCGGCAGGGGCGGCGGCGGCGAATGATGCTGTCGCTGAAGATGTCGTTGCTGCTGCTGCTGTTGCTGCTGCTGCTGCTGCTGCTGCTGCTGCTGCTGCTGCTGCTGCTGCTGCTGCTGCTGCTGCTGCTGCTGCTGCTGCTGCTGCTGCTGCTGCTGCTGCTGTCGATACTGCTCGTGTTCCTGCTGTTGATAGTAGTTCTGTCTGTGTTGCTTCTGATGCACCTGTGGCTGCTGCTGCCACCGATCTGATCCGGGCTGCGGCTGGTGGTATTGCAGAATCTGCTGCTGCTGCTGCTGCTGTCGCTCCTGCTGGTGACTCCAGAGCTCTTGGGAACTTAAGCAGTTAGAAGCATGCCTCTGCTGGCTCCCATCCACAGAGGCTGTTGGATCAAGCAGCATGGGAAGTGCTTGATCTGTCTGTGTGGACATTGCTTTATCGACATGAACGAATGAAGGTTGAGGAGCGTTTGGCACTTCACAGGCCAAGTGGGAGCATGCAGGGCCTAGCATCGGTGGGAACGGGGATGGGTGAGGCAACACGGTGCTACTAGAAGGGTGACACGGCTGAGAGAAGTTATCAGGAGGTAGGATAGGGGCGTTAAAAGGCTGTGTGTGAGCAGCTGATGAAGGGACCCCTTCAATGCTGGGGCCTGTGAAGGGACAGTGGCTTTAGATACCACGGGATGTGCAACACGCTCAGGATGGCTCATTGCAGGAGGGAAGGGCGTGGTGGAAGAGGGCAGTGCAGCTGCAGCAGCAGGAATACAAGCTGTAGCATCAAGGGAAGTATTGGCTATAAAAGGGTGGGAAAGAGAAGCGGGCGCCCAGGTGGTAACAGGTGCACAGGTTGTGAGAGGAGCACAGGACGTAGCAAGAGCTCTTGGTGGTGTAGCAGGAGTTGATGATGCAGGCGATGAGTGGCTCAAAGGAGGAGTGAATGAAACAGGATGAGGAAGTGCAGTGAGAGCAGGAGTGCATGATGTAGCGGCAGCAATAGCGCAGGTTAGAGCAAACGCGCAGGCTGCAGCTGGACTAGGTGCAACCGGAGCAAGGGTTGTAGCGGAAGCACAGGCGGCAGCAGCAGGGCAGGGGGAAGAGTAGCAAAGAAGCCGGGTTGTAGAAGCATCGGGAGGTGGCGGCGTTTGGTTGTGTGAGCCGTGGTATACCGTCCTCACCACCACACGCATCTCAGTCCTTGGCATCTCCCCTCTTTCAGTCACCTCCTCATCATCTCTCAACCCTTCCACTGCAGCTCCAGGCCCCATAGCAGTTGCAGCGGCCACAATGGAATTCAGTGCTCTGGTAGTCGAGCCGCCTCTAAATGCGGCCTTTGAGACGGTGCCCAAGCCTTGATGCCTCAGCCCAGCGATGCTGGTTGAGCGGCGCTGCCTCGCCTCTCCAGCCACGCGGTCTTCCGTCTTCTTTGCCTGGCAGCCCGTCGCTTGCTTCGACGCGCACACAAAGTACAGCCTGCAAGCACCAACGGATGTAGCGGCAGGCTATAAGTACTACTACTTCTACTATCACCTACCATGACATATAGAAAATTGTCCTCAAACTGTCCTCAGGGAATCTTTCAGGCCTCTGACTTGAACCCCATCCCGAGTGCCCAGCAGGACTGTTGCATGGCGGGGATTTTGACCCAAATGCATCCCATGGCCGAATAGAGGACGGATTTGTGGGATGGAACTTGTTTCTGGATGGAGCAGATTTATGACACTGCTGTCACCAGAACTTCACGGTAGTACTACTAGGAAGGCACCATCTACAAAATTGCGTGGTCCTCAATCTAATGTGACATTGGTTATTGAAATGCAAGGATACCCAATGAAGAAGCACCAAGTGTCATCACAAGAACTCACTGGAGCCACTGGCACCAAAGGAGCCACCTGTCTCCCAAGGAGGGTCCTAAATATTAATGGATGACGTTAACTCAACGCAGATATGACACAGTAAGTAGTCCTTAGTAAAGTTATATTAAGGATATTGCTTAGGCAAACTAGCAAATGATGAAGGCTCGCCGAGAAGGACAGGCGGCTTTACCTCTTGATTTGCTGATGGGCCACGATGCGCTTGTGAGAAGTTTTTCTCCATTTGTAACCCTCGTGATTCCCTTGAGGTTGATTGGCCGCTGCGTGTTGCAGCTGGTCCCGAACCAGGCGATCTTGGCTCGGCCCCATAATGATCTGGGCTGACGAACATCGCGAAATTCCGAGTTTGCACTAAATGTACACGGTAGCTTTTCCTGCGGGAAACCTTCGGAAAAGCTTCGGAAAAGCTTTGGCGCGCACATTTACAGATGAGTGGCCAAAGTGACATTGCAGCAACAACTCTGAAGTGTCTCCAACGCTACTTTGCAGTTACAATTGTGACTTCAATTTATCAAGTTCACCAGTGATCCCGGCCATATCCCACTTCCGTATCAAAACAACGTTATTACTCCATGATTGGGGCCACACTTAGGGCCATCTTGTTATTCATATCGCAATGCGTTCAAATCCATCAGTAGATGAGTGCAAACCTATTGAGTAGCCTGACTCTAGGATTAGTAAAGGACTTGCACACGTGGACAATGCGCTCGATCGATGCAACTTCAATGATCCCGTGCGTGGCCTCCTTCCGCCCCGGCACCAGTTGGGGGCAAAGTGTTTGGGGACACACCCCCTCCTCCTCGTAATACTTCACGAATACATATGCACCTTCCTCCCCGCTGTAGTTCATCGCCCTGAAAATACAGAGACACCGCGCATACCACCACTCCTCCTCCTCCTCCTCCTCCTCCCTCTCTCCCGGTATTGCAATGTCGGTGAACCAGTTCTCCTTCGGGCTTGCTTTCACGAACATCGCCTTCGGAACCAAGTACCCCCCTTTCGTGCTAGGGATGGCCACTGCGGTGTGCACCTGCCGGGTATGGGTGGGTTTGCATGAGGACCAACACATTGTACGATGACGCCTCTTCACGTACGTGTCCAACACACAACGGCCCACCCCCCTTTACAACCAAAGCCAACAGCTTGATTACCGAGTTACTAACATGACACTGCATCTCACCAACACACGTGAAGTCTGAAGGCCTTCCGCGGCCATGAGTGTCGCCATGTTGTCAAACTCGCTGCCCACCGTCTCCCTGTACAGCATCCGCAGTGGATCGTCTGCCGTCATGAGACACATGGCCTTGCTGGTGCGGGTCAGCGCGGGCTTCATGCTGCGCACAGCCTGAGGGGTGGGTTGTGAGCACGCATGGGATGAACCGGTGGAGTCATTGATTCCAAACACCTCGCATACCTGCGTGCCTTTAACAAATGCCACCAACACTACACGGCGACGCGTTGTGTACCTCTCGCAGGGCGGTGTAGTAAGTTCTCCCTCCTCCTGACAGCGCTGCAATCTCCCGAGTGATCTCGCGTTGCGTCTCCTCCTCGACAATCCTCCTTGGTATGTCTTTCCAGTTGCTTCCGCGCACGGGGCCCTTCACGGTGCCCTTGTTGGTATGCTCCCACAGCTCCGTGGAATACTCGTGCGGCAAACCCCTCATGGATATGCCGTTGATGAGGTGTACAACTTCGTGGAGCTTCACGAAGTTCCAATTCGACTTCTGCCTCGGGAAAGTCGCCTGCAGTGCAGCCACCAGTCTACACGGAGGTGTATGCACATTGTAATGCGAACATTGAAAGAATCACCACAGTGTACAACATGGCCAATTGTAGCACCGAAACACGTGGCCATCATGTTCACTCACGAGATGCCATGCTGCCTCGCGATGGCGATTGTGAGCCGCGTGTGCTTGGTCACAGCCAGCAGGGACTTGTAGAAGACCGCATAGTAGCGGAAGGCACGAACCTCCTTATCCCTCTGGTCCCTTTCCTCCGCAGAGCGCCCCACACATAGGTCGGAAATGACAATAGGGAAAACCTGCATCATGCCACGATACTCGAACGCCGCGTAATTCGCCCCGCTGCGGAAAAAGGTGGAGCCACCCGGGATGCGCACCAAGACACTCCTTGTCTCGCCCTTCACGCCAAACTTGCGGCTGTTCCACGCACCAATCACACACAAGCAACGAGATTCGATTGTTCCCGTGGTGAGATCCGCCACGTACGCACTACCGCATACAAAACAGTTCACGGAATCTCTGTGTACTCACTGATCAAACCCCCGAATCTCGGCCTTCGTCTTCCCCTCCATGAAACAGGTGGCCATATGCACCAGCACCCCAGAATCCAGCACATGCAATATGTCGCCAACAACCGCCAGGAAGACGTTACCCCACTTCGTCTCAGAGAAGTTCCAGCGCTCCTGAACGCTCTGCACGTTGGATGGTGCTGTCAGACTCATCATAAAAAGCAACATCATGCCGCTACAATCATGGCCGCGGCCATGTGACTTGCCACACACAAACATCGAACGCGCACCGTGATCGGATGCGTAGACCACCTGGCCCGGATCGCTGCAGCGCCTTCCACCTTCGTAGCGCTCAGTATCTTCGCCGCCGCGTGCCGCTCTCCCTTCACAGTGCGCACTATTGACTGGTTTGACAGGTCATGTAGGTGCGCCCTCTTGATGTAGCAGCTCGAGCACGGTCTGTGTGACGCCTGCTGCATCGTTGCTGTGGCCCGGCACCCTTCCGGATAGTCGCCAACAAATGCATAGAGGCATGGATATGCCTTGACCACACCTCCCCGGCCGTCTGACACATCGAAGACTCGAAGAGGACCACTGCATGCACCACGTACATGTTTGATGGGCCTCAGAAACCGACAATGACCCCGTTCGCCTCCAACGGCCTAGAGCATGCATTCGGACCACTTACTCGCAGCTCTCATGCATGAGCGGACCCATCACGATGCGATACGCCTCCTGATACACCCGCGTCTTCTCCGTCGCCGATGCCCACTCTGGCGGAAAAGGGAGCACACCCACTAGCGCGTGCCCAGGCTCACGCCACCGTAACTCCTCCGGGACATTGACCAAACCCATCAACATTGGCCATGCCTGTAGGCGTCCGTTCCTCGACGCGTAAGTGCTGTCGTTGTACGAGATGACACCCAGCACCATAGAATCCTCCTCCGGCAGTTCCGCCTGACAACGACACAAGGCGACGAAAAGAGTCACACCAACTCACATCAGAGCGCCATGTGACGCTTGGGAACATTTGCCTCTACTTGCCTGGGCCTCTTCCAGCCAAGTCCCTGTGTCGAGCGTACTGAAATATCTTGTGCCCGCCGTATCTTCCGGATCTCGCCGCGGCCGTTTGACAAATCCCCTCACATTCACGAATGTCTTCACCATCTTCTGCGCAATCTGTCCACACGGAGGCGCGGGAAGCCTGTGTATAGACGGTGCATAAACAGACATACACTCGCCGACTCCGTGCAGCACCAACCATCAATCGCTCACCAGCTTGGTGTCCTTGTACAGCAGTTCCAGCATCTGAGACCTTCCTCCGGGGCCCCGCACCTCAATCTCTGCCTTGAGCCACGGCACCATGTCGTCTGGCGCGTGTTCCTCCCCAAACCGCCTCACGTCGGCGACGTTCTGCCAGCGCCGAACCGCTGCAGGATCGTATCCCGGGTGGTTGAATATGTGCAACACTCTATTTATTTCTCTGTCCGACAAATCAGCGTCCTTGAAGAACAGGTACAGCTCGTTCAGGGTGTTGAACAGGTCGCCAACTGTGGATACAGATCCATCGTCCGACGTCGACACGTACCCGCGCACAAAATCCGCGTGCTCGGGAAACTCTCTCAAATATCTGAACAGCGAGTCGGCGGAGTGGGGGCTGCCCGGGACTGACTCACTGTCCGAATGATGCGGGCTATTTCTCACCTCGGCCAAAGCCTCTGCCAACGCCTCCACCGCCCTACTCTCGAGCCTCTCGAGCAGCGTGTCCCTGCACGTGTCATTGCGATACAGATGGATTCTCAGTAGGTTGTCTGACTCCAGCTCCTGCCCGCACGCCCCGCACCTGTTCCCTGCCATGTGTCTTAATCTGCGCACACACCCAATGGCCGTTCCCTGACTTCCCCTCTAATTCCCGTTAGCTAACCATTACCGTCATGCATGTTCTCCACTACACGCAGTACCACCTATGCTGTTTTTGAGCCGCGCACGCCCTGCATCCTACCACCGAAACTCCGTACGCCACGTCTCGCGCACCGCAGACCGTTCTATTACTCCAGTTACTAATACTGCATGTTCGGAACATGGGTCCTCCGCCTACGTCACCCCATTATCACAGCTGCTATAATGGCTCGTCAAATACATCGTGCACGCACAAAAGGGCGGAGAGTCCGGGCGGGCGGCCTTATCCGTAACGAGAAACCCTAACCGGCTGAAATGCATGCGGTAAGAAATCCCTTCGTGAAGTATGCACTTGCTTTGTTCAGGCGCGGTGGTTACACCACGACGTGGGAATATACTCGATACAACAAAACATAGAAGATCAATGTTCAAACACCGTCTGTCATTTCCGATGGACTATCTCCCATCCTTGCCAGACATAAACGGTGAATTATTACAACAATCGTCCACACCCCTACGAAACCTATGCCAATGCATTTTTCCACATGTGTCACACAAAACCACAATGGCATACTTAAAATCTAATACATAAGCGGGTTCAGGGCAACTACATGCACTCCAAGTACGGCATGCTTTAGGGTTTAGGCCATATGGGGGTAAACTTATCAGTAATAGCTGCCACGGTGGTCACGCCGACTACGACGTCGCCGCATGAGACGATCAAGTACATCTAACAGGAGCAACGCTCCATCAATATTGGTGGTCCTGGTACCATCTGCCATAAGGGCACAAAGACAAGTCGTGAGGCAATGTGAAGCATCGGCCACGGCAAATAACAGGATGGCCCTTACCTCCGGGGTCCTCGACGTGCGTACGCCTCCGCCTCTCGCGGCGCCGCCCATACTCGTGTGTACGTTCATCCGGACATCCTATGGGACATGTGCGCAACGCAGCGCAGCGCGAGGTAAATAACGTGCAACATGGCTCCCACAAGTGGCAGCACGCAGTCAAGCAATTCATGTTGTTTGGTACTCACCTGTCTGTGACCGGACGTGCCTCGTAGGAGTAGCGGCGCTAGACACGCAAGTACCCGAGGCCCTGTACGCCGAGCTAGACCTGGACGGGTTTGGAGGGTCTGACTCTCCCGTCTCAACGGGCACATTATTCGCGTCGCCCCTGTTGCCAGGGAAGAAGAAGTCGAAGAGATCATTCACGCGGGTAGAACCTTCGCGTGAATCGGCCGGTGGATCTTCGCGCTCCGCACCCGCGGATATTTCCTCAATCTGCATCCTCTCCCAGCTACTAGGTACCGAGTGTGCAGCATCTACATTCCCCCCAGCTGATATCGTGGGCTGTTCGTTCTTCACAGGTCCCGTAATTGACTGCGTAGCCCCCGCGTCTCCATCCTCCGTTTCGTCATCAGATGAGCTGTCGGCCATTACCGGTGTGTGGCTCGGGTGTAACAGTCACAATGACGGTTTTATCTCGACTGATGTCGGCACCCGCGTTTATATCACCACACGCTGGCGGTCCCTGCATACGAGTGCCATCTCGATCAAAGCTACCACCCAGTAGCTTGTTGATGTGACGCGCCGCTACCTCTGTGTCGTTGCTACTAGGGGAGGCCATACTGGGCATAAGGTTAGGGTTTGAGCGAATAGCCACACAGTGCTAAATGACTCCTTGTATCTGCCTCCCAAACACCGAAGCCACTTCGGAAGCCATTTCCGTCCGCGATATCGCCGCCAAAATCTCGCCGTTTGACGTTGTACACCCGATTGATTTACGGTGTGTGTTACACGACATGTACAAAGAAGCTCAATAGTGTGAACGGCCCTGAAAACTTTTTAGGTTTGATGTTTACATGATACATCAAATCTCAAACTGGCTACATCTGCAAGTATTTCAACGTTTCCACGGCACATTCTAATCCCGTTCCGTAACAACCTATGCCCACGCGCCGATAAGTCAAAAGGCTCTGTCTACCGGGTGGCGTTATACTTTACTAGGCGAACGTAGGCACAATCAATAGTCTTGGATGAGGTGCCTGTCATGGACTCTTCTTGCATGGGCTTAGTAGATACCTTGGACCACCAGGGTATCATCCCCAGAGCACGACTGAGATCCCCGATGCACACTCCTTCGTCCATGTCCTTCCACTCCTTGGGCCTGTGCACCTGAAACATGCTTCATCTGGGTTTAGCGTAGGACATGCAGGCACCACAACACACACCGTCCTTTGTAAGGGCATCAACGGAACAATATATACGGCTTACAATGGATGAGGTGCCACCTCCCGTGCATATGTCTCTTGAGTGAGGTGCCGAAATCCTGGATCCATCGGACCGATGTCTCTCCTCCTGCACACCAGATAAACATCCCACACCTTTCAATGGCCATCAGAAACACACCCAGTCGGCACGCCAACGATCCTCACCTCATATCCCATCGCCCTTGCCTCAGCCATTAGAACGACTCTGTAGTCAAATGTTGGTAACCCCGGCAGTATGACATCCTCGAGGCTTGTTGCACTGTGATTTACGAGTCTGTAATCCGCTATTGACGTCATAAACCGTCGACCTTTGGCACGTGTAATGCTCGACTCCGACTCGTCCGGATACGTGGCGTATATGAGCCTCAGGTACATGAACGGTGTGGGTGCATCGGGTGTTATTGCAAGAGACGCACGGGCCTCTGAAATCGCGCGCGCCCTGTGCTGTCTAGGACTGCGCCTTCCACTACCCAGGAATGGGTCCAGAGACCTCAGAATCGTGGCCGCGCTAAGGGTCTCACCTCGTTGTGACATTATGGCACCCTGCACCTGCATTATGGCGTAGGCTATAGTGGGCTTAGACCGTATGAAATAACCCCGGGTGTTGCGCCGGCGAGGCTCCAGCACGTCGCGCGCTTTACAACGCGTTGCGCTCATCATGCCACTACCAACTAAAATCAGTAACATTAGGCGGACGTTAGGGTTTTGTAAGTGTCCGTCCTACGGGAATCGAGGAACGGGCTGCTGGGACGATATGAAGCGGTGTGGAGTGGTTTGTGGAGTGTTGGCACGCTTTCATGGTCAACTGGGTGTACCGAGCACAAACTGCAAAATTAGTTCGCGCTTTCTTCAGATTGTGCCATATCGGGGAGGTGAACATCATACTCGCTCTCGGATTGAGCGTGGAAATCCCTATATCCAATGCTTCCATCACGCAGTCGGGGATGTCCAACTAGTCCAGCCTCCTCTGCAGGCCCGTGAGGCTAGCGACGAGCTGCTCCACAACCTCAACATGCAGGTCGCGGTTGATCGCGTGAAGCCGAGGCAGCCACTCGTCCGGGACGCACCCAGTGCGCCAAAACGCGAGCTGAATGTGAGATGTCGCCACCCCCCACAGTGCCTGGTATGTCCACTACAACGTGTTCGCGGCCGATGGAGAGTTGCTGGTCCACACCCAAGCTGGGGGCACGCGCCTCATGAAGCGAGTCTGGTGGTCCACCCACATTGTGCGGAATTCGGACCTGAAGAACGTGACAATGCCCTGCACGACGGGGTTCCCCACGTCTGGTACAGTATCATGAAGCTGCACAATGCGAGTATGGGTTAGGTGGTGCACCATGAAGGGCCCACTCGGCTCTCGCTTGCCCTCTCCCCAAGTGAGCTTGTGCCTACGCGAGGACACAAGGACGACGATGTCACAGTCCTCTGCAAATTTCGCAGCGTTGAGGCCTAGCATGAACTGCGTGAAAAGCTGCACGTAACAACATAGAGTATCACAGAGACATATATTGAGCACCAACGTCTTGAGTCCATATATAGGAGACATTTTTGCGTGTCATCTCTAGTACATTTCGCCATTACCTGGGGGGTTATGCGGCCGGACCGAGTACGGCGGATATATGCCCACTCGTCGCCACTGACATCGTGGCCCAGCCTCAGTGGCTCCCGATCGGGGCTCACTACAATGGGCCTGAAGCGATGCGCGCCGTCTGCGGAATAGAGAAGGCCGATAGACAGCCTCTTCATATCATTCCCATTGCGCCCGACGAACGGATGCAGGTATGGCTGCAGAGCAGGTAGGAGAGAAACCTCTACAAATATGTAGACGTCGCTGGGAGGTGCGCCAAGGCGCGACAAGAGATCCTTTAGAGCGGCCATGGAAGTAAAGTGGCGTCTGCTACAAATGGCGGCATATGATATAGCCGGTAGGTTTGGCGGGTACAGCGTCCAATGTAGCTGCTAATGGACAATGAGTGAGTCTAGCTTCTGAAAAGCATCGGCGCCAGCTGGCCACTCCCTCTTTGCCCTGACAGGCGTGGATTGGCCACAGAAGCTACTGATTGCGCAATGACGTGGGTACACCTCATAGGCTACCACAATTGTGCACGCTTGAAACCACATGTTTGTGCCCTGAAAGCTAATCTGTTAGTGACCTTTCCGTACCCTGTATAGTATATGCCCGGGTCAGTTGGGGTTCCGAGATATTGTGCGCATGAATGCGTACGTCGGTACACTGTTACATTGGCTGGTATAGTTCTACTATTTAGGAACTTTCACGCCGCATCGCCCTAAACATCAATCTACATCATTTATTTTGGATGCTCCACTCATCGTCGGTACGTTCAGTGTTCGACAATAATTCAATGGTGTAACTGAAAGGAAGTCGAAATAAATCCATCCGCGTCAAGGTGAGTGGCCGAAATGTTACATCGCTGTTAATCGCATTTGGTTATGTTCATAACGGGACATATGTCGTCCCGATAAGGGCTGCACAATTGAGTGTATAAAGGTTCCGCATAGTCTCGGCTGTGCATGCTGACGAGGGTACAGTAATCTCGGCACAATTGCACTGTGACAAGTGTCAAATATGGCTGGAACCCACTGCCAATCACGAACCGCCATGGTGGTATCCACATTCTAGAATCGCGATCTGACCCTGGGTCTCCGTCGTCTGAGCAAATCCGATATTTGTACCCGAAGGTGCCTGGTGGAGTGTATAAACGCTTCAGTCGCACTACAGCCCGACAGTTAAGTTCTTGCCACACTAGGGTTCCGGCCTCTCTCACGAACTCGTAGTAGCCATGGTACCGCGAACCAAAGCCCAGGCCTCTAAACGCGGCCTCCATAGTCCACAAGCCATGACATCGCGTAGGCCACCGGCAGCGGCGCGGCGGGATAACACCACGATCCCGGAATCGCTGAGCAACAAGCGGCTGCGCTCGCGTGAACTCCAGCAGGGGGATACGAATACGGAGGCCGCAGTGGTCGCGACGGTTTCCGCATGGGGCTCGCGGCTGCCATGCGTCAAAGAAGAGCCCGCGCCGAATGACGCGCTGACTGCTCTACTGAACGCACCATCTTCAACGACTTTTAAGACGGTGTCTCTGTATAACCACATGGGTGTGGGTTGTCAATTGAATGCGCACGACGCCTTGACGCTCGCCGACAAGAAATATCTGGGGGACGCGATCGTCGATTTCCATAACATGTACGTTTTTGGATGGCGATACTCCTACAGGTTGCTTTGTCGCCACCCTACGGTATGCCGACTTTAACGTTTAAACTTTCATCGTGCGTTGTCCCTTCGCACCCGTGCAGCCTCCTGAACATCAGGTACCCAAGGTGTCCGAACGGGAAATCATGGGTGGTCCTTGACAGCAAGGCGTATGCGTATGCCAAGATTCACGGGAAGCCGATTGGGAGGTGCACGGGCCCGTCTGTGTTCGAGTACGATTACATCGCCGTCTCGATATTTGCCGGGTAAGTACGTCTTTTGCCCGCCGCTGTAATAAGCCCGTCTCTCGCCCCAGCCTAACAAAGACCCCTCAATTGTGCAGGGAACACTATTCTTTGATGGTGGTAACCAACCCGAGCGGGATTGTAAGCCAGACGGCCGCACCTGTGGAGTTCATTCTATTCGACAGTGACGGCCTCCACGCCAAGACTACTGATGCCTTTGACGGGACTAAAGCGTGAGAGTCGCTATATACCACCGTGCAACCCCCTTTCAGCGGTGACGTCCTGCGACCTCATCTGACCTGTTGGCTATATCGTCGTGCAGGTTATTGCACCTCATGTGCAAACGCGATCATCCGGAGGTGAGATGCTGCAAAGACAGTATGGCTCATTCTATCCCACTTGGTTGCTAATACGGGAGCGCGTTCTGATGAACGGAAACATCGTGTCTCGAATGGTGCGCAGGGTCACCAGATCCCCGAACAACCTAACAGCTGGGACTGCGGAGTGTACATGTGCCAGTATCTCGAAGCTCTGGTGACATCTGGGTTCATAACCGTGAGAGAGTACATATCGTTCAAGGGCGTGAGCGCTGAGAGGTACCACCACAAGATGCGTGGGGATCTTTGTTCTCATGCCGAGGGAACGCTGATTCCCGAGCTGCAGCGCCAGGGTCTCCGCATACCTCTGCAGCCTGTTCCCGTTATCGACGACAACGGATACATATGCGTCGACCCTCCTGTGGACATCCGAAGAGAGCTGCTAGACCACAAGGAGAAGTTCGCTGTGATTGAGCACGACATACAGGTTCTGACGGCCAAGATCGAGTATCTGGCCATCCGCAAAGGCGTGACGTCGGACGAGCTGGACGCAGGGGCGCGCCAACACCTGGGTGCCGTGGTCGACACGCTGGTGCCGACGGCGACTCCACGCAAGCACGCCAAAGCAGAAACCACCGCGGACGGAAGTGGCCAGATGGAGGTCGCGCGGACTCCTCCGACGCGTGCACTGGCGGCAGTGCCATCAATCTCTCCCTGTCCTGCACCTCACACACCTGCTGTGGTCAGGCAACAACAGCGCGGCCATCTTGCACTGGCTTTGCGCAGCCGCGCTACGACTCCCGTGCCCGCAGCTCCAGGTAATCCCGGAAGGGTCGCAAGCAGCGGCCGAACGGGAGTTATGTGGAACGCAGCGAAGCAGAGGTACTACGTCCGGATCATATCTGCTCGCCGTCAGCAGGTTCGTCTGGGGTCGTACGAGGACAAGGACGAGGCGTCATACGCGTATGCTGCGGGAGCCGTTGTACTTCGCCCGAACTCACGCATCAGCTGCACGGTGGAGCTGTCCGACGGTGACAGGCAGGCTTTAGCCGGCTGCACCGAGGAGATCCTAAGGCTACTCGTGAAGTACAGGCGCTGGAACAGATGGAGGGAGTGGAGAGCCGCAATGGCTGGCCTGGACGATGCGCAGCCGGTCGAGACCCGTTCGCGGCGAAAGGGCAGAGTGTCCCGGGCCATTAGTGACGTTGAGGAGGTGGAGGCGACCACGCAGACTACAGAGGACCAGCCTATGGCTGAAGAGCCTGAGGACCCACCAGAGGACTACACGGATGACGATGAGTCCGTTGACGATGATGCTGTGTATGAACTGGGAAACGATGATTTCGACGAAGAAGATGACTGGGAGGAGGTCAACCGTGCAGAGGGTGATGCCTGAAGCCATGAACAGGGTGGCCATTGGACCACGGGATGTTCTAGTTCTGTGCTCATACTGATAGGACTTAGAGCTGGTGGCGGGTAGGTGGATCTGGAAATGTAAGCATCGTATGTATCACGGTATTGAACTGTCTATATCGAGGAGATGTAAATATACGACAAATAACACTAAAACTTTGCACATGTAGAAACTGTAACCACAGTTGGGGCTAGTGGCAAATGCTGAAATAAGGGGGTGTATAAGTGGAGTATCGCATCTGACAGAAACGAGGACGAGCATCGAGGATGTGACAATCGTGGCACGGCGACATTTTACATGTGGAAAGTGTGGCTGATATTTGACTGTAATCAAACTGGCCACTCTAACCGTGGCATGTGTAGAATTGTGCGCGTGGCCAAGAGCTTGAGGCAACTAGTGCGGTGAGAAACTCCGGTATCGGGCATTGCGATATCCACGAGAGTGGTAAGGGGACTGTTGCGAGCGAGTGTAGAACCCCGGGGTGGTTTAGAGCTACGCCATTTCGACCCCGCTGTGTATGCGGTCTGAGATGCTGTCTCCGCTAGAGGTCGATATGACTCCCACCGACGGCGGTCGTTCCAAGCGGGCGAAGACTGCGCCGTCATGGTTAGCTGAATCATATGAATACGGGGAGCAGAAGAAGAAAGGACGATGCCTACCGGAACCCAAGAGGCGTAAAACAAACACAGAAAAATGTGGCGCGGAGGATAAGAACGCGGGGCATGACGAAGGTAACATTTGTGACGTGACAAGTACGTTGCATTTCATGTACCAGTGCTAATGCATGACTGTGGTGAGATATGCCGTATGCCCACGCAAACTTAACACCCTTCTACCTACCACGCACCTGGTCACAGAGACTCGAGAAGTGCCGCTGCAGATATGCAGCGCCAAGGCTGTCAGGGCCGTCGACGCGGAGGCAGCCTGCACGCCCATTGTCGCCAGCGCACCACAAGGGGAGGAGGACACCGGGCTGTGAAGGAACGCCTGATAGACGAGTTAATGGAAGGCGAAGATGAGGACGACGAGGAGGGAAACGCTGGTGGTCAGTCGTCAAGCAACGATCCGTGTGGCGAGAACGGATCAGAGGAGGAGCAGGCCACAAAAGCGCCACATTCGAGGAAGCGGAAAGAAGCAGCCGATGGCCAAGTCACACGCGAGGAATTTGATGCGTTGCGTGATTCCCAGAATGATACCGCGAAGACACTGGCTCGTCTGGAGTCACACGTACTAACCATCATCCGCCTTGGCGAAGGGCGTAAGCGCAAGCGGGCGTCCACAAGTGCCGCAGCCTCGCTCGGCCGGGAAGCTTCGAAGCAGAAACGCCAGTCAGATGATGACGAAGAATCCAGCAGAAACGCGACACTGGCGTTAGACGCGGATAAGGCTCGACGGCAGGATCTGAACAAGACCTTGTCCGAGTACAAAACAGGGTTGGCCGGTCGCGCTCGCGGAGTTTTTTTCTTCCACGAATTGGTCTTTTCCGTGACGACGAGGACAGGGCCAGTCCTTGGGCACGTAAGACAGAGCACACTGGGGAGCATGCCCGAAAGAGATATTGCGTCCCCGTCCCAGACGATGGTGCGTGTTCGCATGTCATATGGCCGGAGCAATTATGGCCGCAACTCCTGTGTCGTGCCATAGTGGACCAGACATATCTTTGAACCCTCCCCTTTTTCCGTACGCGGTATCGTTGTACCCATTTTGCATTCCACGTGTGCAGGGGACCCGACCTTGTGCAAGTGGCACATCAGCAAGGATGGACTGCCCTTTGCATCCGGAGCGTTCGCGGCATGTGCCATCGCGGCTTTCAGAGGGAAGCGGAAGGACAAAGAAACAACTATCAAGCTGTACCACCTGTCGTGGCTCGAGCACCTTGTACGTTTACACCGATGCGAACATATGTTGTAGCCACTTTCGTTCAACTAGTCGTTCTAACTGGGCTTCTCCTGCCTTCGCAGATCACGGACGCCATTATCAACTGGGAGAAGCGCAATGGGAAACTGCACAACTCTCCGTGCGAGAACGGCGCTTCTGTGCGGAGGATTCTGAAGCTGGCCTTCGATGCCATTGCGGATGCAGTATGCCGGAATGAAGTGGCCTACGACGAGGAGAAGAAGTCTTGGAAGTGGGGCAGGCATGGGCTCCGTCTATCATCTTGCGGCCTGGAATGCCTCCTGGAAGATGAAGCAGCCTCCGAAGACGAAGAACATGAGTCCTCCGCGTCGGAAGCATCGGATAGTGAAACAGATGGGTGAAGTGCTGACAGTGTGTTTAATCCAATTGTGTGTCATAGACTAGTGTAGTGGTTTAGTGGGGACAGGTTGTGGTTGTTGTTGGTTCAGTGCATATGTGCAATAAATCGGTGACATATATGTTGGATCTTGCACACCTAGGGGAGACCTTGCGCATGTTGGACACGAGGATGGTTGAAACGCAACTCTCTGCATTCCGCGCAGTACGGCGACAATTGCGGCGCTAATCGCGGCGACATATGCGGCGGGTTAAATAGGAGCCGTTAGATGCCACGCTAGTCTAGCGACGTGGATAGAGGGCAACCGTACAATCCGCCGAACCGCTCATCAATGAAACGGGCCTTTTTTTAGACCGACGACGGTGTCCAATGGCTATTTGCCACGTGTGTGATGGAGATGGTCACAGATGTGTTATCGTGAGATCCGCGACAATTACGTGTGTACGTGCGATTGGTATCAGTAGTCCTAGTTGGAAAACCCTATCACCGAACGGACGGCGTGTGTAGGTACAGGTGGATTCCACTACAAATCGAGGGATGACATTTGTATCGGACGGACGGTAGAGATGAGGCGTATGCGTGTGAGATCTGGAGTTTGTCGGCGTATCCGGAGCGGCCATGTGCCGTGCTGCGGTTGGCAGAGCGGAGTTGCCACGCGACAATCGCGGTCGTACAATTGTGGCCATCTCGACCGTACATGCGGCACCATACGATTCGTTATGGTTGGGCATCCACCTGTCATAAAGCGTGATTACACGTGTAGATATTATGTTGACGTGGAATAGTGACTTCATGTATGCTAATCGGCAGCTATGTGGCAACGCACAGGTGTAACCGTGGAGTGTCCGCATGGTGACGCAAATGTCACTGACAGGTACATGACGTAGAAGCGACCCCCATGACGCTGTGCGTGTTGCGGCCATGTTGCGGGAAACGTTGCTAAAAAGCTGCGGAAAAGTTGCGGGAAAACCACTTTCCCTGTAACCCTGACCCAGAAGCCTTTGACCTAGACTTTTTTCTTGCGAAACCAAAGTTGCGGAAAAGCAACTTTGAAGCTGCGGGGAAGCAACTTTTTCGGCCTTGGTTTTTCGCGATGAACGTGTTAACTGCACGTGAGCACCATCATGATCTTCATGTGCGTTTCCTGAACTGGATCCTAATACAGCAGCCCAAGACACTGATTCGTCCCTTGACCGAGAATTGATCGAAACATGCTCGTGTTGTAGCTGTTCTTGCCTCTGGAGACTACCACTAGGTTCTACGCTCATTGCGGTTTTCTATGATATAATATAATTCCAAAACCAAGGGGAAGAGTTAAACTGTATCAGAAGAAACCTCTGAAGTCGGAAAGAGTTGCATGTTCATACATGGAGTCGGAAGTCTCTTGCATTGCTCGAAATGGTGTTGTGCTTTTCGGTACTATCGGCACTACAATCGCTGTGAATCATATGCTTTGGTGCAGTTGGGAAGGGGGGAAGGGGTGTGCTATGCCTGGTTGGATGCAGGTAGGCGGGAGAAGGGGGTGGTGCTGGGTTGGGGGGTTTCGGGGTGAGTGTCGCTTGCCAAAAAGCCAGCCAGCAACTCAATTCCCGCAGACGCGTCCCAGGTGGAATTGGATGACAGCAACTCGTCCTTGTGCTGTTTATACCCAAAAAGAATCCCAGAAAGGTGGGTGGGGGGAGGAGAGAAGTTGGTGTACAGCTCGGTGGTCCCCATGAGGTCTGAGGAGTCAACACGAACTGCTCATATGAAAACAGCTGCCCGGAAAACAAAACAAAACACCCTCGCGTAACTGGGTTGTCAATTGAAATGATTGTAATGATTACAATTGCAGAATTGTTTGATCCGAGCACGCTACGGTATCCTGCCAACAGTGAACTCAGGCTTTTGTATATTCAGTCTCTGAAGAAGATATGACCAAGGCTCAAATACACTAGAGATAATTGGTTTCACAGAGGGTTTAAGCTTGATTTGAAAAAACAGTGGTTTGGGGGGGCAGAAAAATAATTCAGAATTGCACGCCCCTTCACTGCAAAAGGGGTGCCATAAAATTAGGACGTGGGCCCAATCGACTTTGATCGACTCGGATCTGATCGGGTTGAATTAGATCGGATTGCTTGTGATCGTTTTTTTCGCGCCGCCCGATCAGATTTGATTTTCCTCGAATATTCTGCGCTATTGTCTGACAACCGGTAGCCCATTACCTCGTAGTTGTATTCCCATTTTGGCGAGATGGGCAAATCAATGTATCGTGGTAATGTCGCTCTTATCGCACTGCGCACAGGGTCCGCTCCAAAACCTTCGAACCGGTCTGTATGTATGAGCGAGGATTTTTGAGACCTCATGGCGAGGCATCTTACATTTCGCTTACGTCGCCTAGGGCCCCGATCACATGCAATCAGGTGATCGGGGCTGATTGTGTCTGATCGGGTCTGATCGGGCTGTTCGAGGCGGCTAATCAAGTTGGCGCGATCAGCGGATCGCGATCGGCTGATTGCCCCCGATTGCCTGAAATTGGCTTCCCACCTTCCTCGAAGTTATTGATCGCCTCTGATCGCGCCGATCCAAGTCGATTGGGCCCACGTCCTACAGTGAAGTAAACGAAAACAAATCCGAATTTAGGGCCAAACCCACACCCAAACCCACACCTCTCTGCACCCTCAACCCCCAAACACCTCCTTCCCAGCTGCCCTTTCCCAGCAATCCCACAGGTTGGCTACTAGGCACACTCTAGAGTACACCCTGTTTCGCGCCACACTGACATTCGCCATATTGACAAGCCGGTTGTACTGACATCAATGCATCCAAATTGGTCCCAGAACATACCATATAAGCACTTTTGCCGCACGCAACCGAACGCAAAAGCACGTTTTCTTTCATGAACCGTTGTCTACCGTTCTCCTCAAGTGCATTTTGGTTGCAAGCACCAGCCCGCTGAATCCAAGCACACGTGCGTACTGTAGCCGGGGCTCCCGATTGTCCGAACATCGAGAAACAAGGTGTACGGCATCACAACTCGTAGGGTAACACATCGAACTCCCCGTCTACTGCACACATACACCCTGTTTCGCGCCACACTGACATTCGCCATATTGACAAGCCGGTTGTACTGACATCAATGCGTCCAAATTGGTCCCAGAACATACCGTATAAGCACTTTTGCCGCACGAAACCGAACTCAAAAGCACGTTTTTTTTCATAAACCGTTCTCCTGAAGTGCATTTCGGTTGCAAGCACCAGCCCGCTGAATCCAAGCACACGTGCGCACTGTAGCCGGGGCTCCCGATTGTTCAAACATCGAGAAACAGGGTGTACGTGAACTGAACTTTATTGGTGTACAGTATTTGATGCCAGCAGTAAAAAGATAGAAACGTATTGACGAGAGCAAATACAGCGAAATATTGCTCATCCGATTTTCGGTATAACTTATTTAGCCATTACAGTCTCATCATGGACGGGACGGACAAAATGTTGACATTGCGACAATGTCCACATATGCACCCATGTCAAACAGCAATGCCACCCATCTCCACATAGATGGCGAAAACTGGTGTTATACGTAGCACGGGCTAGGGGTAGTGTCGCAAACACGCAGTGGAGTACTCGCATTTCGTTCATGGCCAAGTTAGTGGTATGGTATCCGTTGACAGAATAATCTCTTCAAACGAGTCAAAGTTGTAGCAACGCTTCCCCGCAGCTGACTTGTACAGTACCATGAAGGCTGA